GTAGAAGTAACACCGGTCGTCGAATGTCGAGTGAGCGCGGGTGCTTTTGCATTTGACCTATGATTCTATTCCCTTCGTATAGATGCGATATTAGAAATGAGAAAGTAAGTGTGCATGTTTTTAACAAAAATAGTTCAAATTCCATAATTTAAGTGGCCTTGGCCCGGTTTAAATTAGTCTTGTGTTTAAGTTTAATGAAACGGTTTGTTTTTACTTTTTAGGCGCGTTTGTTGATATTTTTGTTTTCTTTTTGTGCAATAATAATAATATTTTTTAGTAAAATAAGAACTAAATACAATTCCATATATTAGTGTTAATAATAATAATTGTACTGTAATTAGTGTAAGTAAATAAGTGTAAAAATAATTCTAAAACGTTTTGTGATAGTTATCAAAAATATATAACTTTATGTGATAATTATTTGCTATAAAATCAAACTTATATTCAGTATTTTATGCTGAACTTGTGGGTGAATTTATCATAATCATAATTAATAAATAAATCGTTTGCCGTTAAATCTTTTCAAGTGATATTTTATCAAACCGTGTGAAATGATTTAACAAATAAATAAATTTAACCATTAACACCATGTCTAATTCTATACGAAACGGTAACAAACAAGTTTTCTCGTGAAACGGACATTGTTTCATTCGCAACGTTTTTCAATTAAACACGTCGTGAAACACTCTATTGAAGCCGTTAGTAAAATAGAGTGTTTCAAAACCCTCTATTAAAATAGAGTGTTTCAAAAGCCGCTATTGATATTCGATAGATAGTTTCGTTTCGTTACTCAAAAAAGCCGCTACAACCCACCGCTAAATTGCAGTCGCACTGCTGCACACTACTTAGAGGCCGTTCATTAATCACGAGAGGCTCTAAAGGGGTGGGGGAGGGGTTTGACAAAAATCACGAAATATCACAAGGGGGGGGGGAGGTTGTAGTCAGATTATCACGTGTATTTATTTTTTCGATTCTCTAAGTCAAGGTCACATCACACGCGCGATTGCTAAACCAAAAAGCGGCGTGTAATGTAACCCCGACTAGCCTCGCTGTATATGTAAATTCATATCACAAGCATGAACCCAATCCGAGCAATAATAGTCTCGAGATGCACAATGTTCGTCCCTCAGACATACTCACGCTACGCTCGATCCATAGATCGAGAGAGATTCTCTGTGTAGTGCGCGAAAATGATGACGCCGAGTGGCTTAATGAAACCGACGCTGACTTCAACAAAGCACAGTGCCAACAACTGACTTGCAAGATGCTTATCCAGTTGTTAGTGTTGAAGAAAGTCTTGCTAATCGGTGGTCCAAGGACAATGTACATTAAATATGTTCATGTACTAGTACAATAAATATGTTTTCGCATGATTACACCATTTCTTTAATATTAAAATAAAACTAGATTATACTTTATAGCTTCTAAAAAAACACGTGATTTTGGGTGGGTGGGTTTTATTCTTAAACCTCACCAAGTATCATCAAGAGGGAGGGGGAGGGGTGTTAAAAACGCTGAAAAAAATCACGTGATTAATGGATGGCCCCTTACTAGACTAAATCTAGCTGCGCAGCTGAATTAAAGTCTAAGGAATATACCGAATTGTTCAATTGAGATCAGTCACGTTAAATTTACGAAATATGACGTTACATTACGTATATAGGTTTTAATTACAATATTGCTATTTATTTATTATGTTCTTTATTGCACTTAAAATGTACAATTGGTGGACTTAATGCCTTTAGGCATTCTCTAGCAGTCAATCACGAGCTAAGCAGAGAACTTTAGCAGGTGCCATAAAACATTAGAATAAATTATACGTGAATGTAAATATAAAAATAAACATACTTGAAATTTTGTTTTTTTTTATTTAATTTTAAACTTAAAATTACATCATGTGGTGTTTGTTTCGTATTTACGTACTAACACGGGCTGCTTGCTCTCATACAATATGCAGATTGGTTGAGCGACTGATCCGAGTTGTCGTTATCACCAAGCGATAATGTTATTATAATGTATTTAAGTTTGTGTGAAAACTTTAGCTCATTATTTTAAAATTTATGTTGAGTGTCGTGGTGGCAGATTATTATTTTTGTGTGCGCAGATTTTCCCCCGCAAAAATTACAGACCGTTCCGTATTGGCTTGTTACATATTTATTTATCTATTTTCTGTATCGGAAAAAGACGCTAGGGCTACTTCACCCCATAGATAAATAGACACTATCTGGGGGCACTGCCGTGCCCCCGCCAAGTCGAGCAAAAAACGGCACGGCCGTACCATCTTTTCTCGAAGCAATTCTGGATATTTTCGACCCCCTATAACTTCGTAGTCAATTAAACTAGAAGCCTGAATTTTGGCAATCGCACTAAGCAATCTAATTTAATATAATATGTATTACTTGTGAGATACATTGTGGTTTCATGCGATGGCCAAGTCAATCTATATATTTAAAATATAAAAGACTTTTAAAATTGATATGGTCATTATAAAATGTTGTTAGGTTAGCTAATTACGTAATAACTTAAAACAGAAGGACTCTTAAGTAGGAACTGAATAAATTAACCGACTTGGTATTACATGGATCTCACAACTTTTTACGGTAGAAGAACTCAGTTGCGAGACTTGTTTTTTTTTACAAGTTATGTTTTTAAAGGCATAATAATATCATATCATAAGTGTACTAAGTACTGATAGATTTGTAGCAAGCTACTCTAGCATAGCTAGATCTACAGTCCGTTTCACGAAAGAAGTCCCTTAGCCGCGGCACCACTGTCTTTGCCATGAAGGTTAGAGAATAGGAGAATGATCACTACGTACTAAAGCATAGCCCGCCTGTCCTTGAAAATTGTAGAAGTTATAGCGGCGCTGACATCGGTGAGTAGTGACTGCGAAGTTAGCTGTTTATGAGTACAAGTAGATGAAGTTAGTTGAATAATGTACAAATTTTCTCCGCGGCATTGGTGAGAAAATTTTCATGCTCCGTAATTTTGTTATTTTTGACAAAAAGAAACATTAAAAAATGGAGAAATATTTTATTGTTTGTGGATGTGCAAGTGGTTTAGCATCTGATCGGAAAAATAGACTGAAAATGACTTTTATTGACCGAACTTAGCGATCGCAACGCCTCACTTATGGTTTCCATATTTCTTGGACACTATTTTCTACGGCGATCGTCCTCCTGTTCTCTAACCTTCATGGTCTTTGCAAAGTTTGACATCTGGTGTCAAATTTCATACATTAAATTTTAGTTCGCATATTTTCCACGGGACTTCTTTCGTGAAACGGACTGTAGGTCTAGCTATAGCGCTTATTACACTATACAATTTTTAGGAAATCTAATTAGGAACCTAAATTGGAAGCTAGTGATCACACTACACTAAATTGAATTCTAAATCGTGACGAACCGCATTCGTAAAGAAGTATCGACGTGGTTGCACGTTTGACCGATGGCGCCGTATTTATCAAAACAGCTGAAAATAGGACTTGCCTTAGCCGTGGTGGGAACAATGGATATTAAAAAAAGAGAAAAGAGTACTTGTCATTGAAAAAAAAACTGTCCAATATGAATATAATTATATATTTTTAGATTCTAAGCAGTTTTTTTTATAGGATAGGGTGACAAACGAGCACACAGTCCACCTGATGATAAGTGGTTGCTGCGGCCCATAGACATCTACATCTATCTCCGATTACAAATCAAAATGCAGATGCGTTTTCACCTGTGACGACTAAGATGGAATGCCTCGTTTCCAGTAAAAAGGGTCTCCGGTTCTCTACACTCGCCATACGAAACACAGTAACATTAAGCTACTATTTTACGCTGGTATTCTGTGGGAGCGTGGTGCTTCCTCGGTCGAGCCGACCCATTCGTGCTACAACTATACTACTAATATAACTGCAGCATGGCTCTACCACCTATAAACAGTTTGAATATTTGTTAAGTTTGGTATCCAAACATATTGAAAAAGAAGTCACGATATGACGATAAAGTGTGAGTACCAAATAATGTTTGATGGTGACATTACGTTTTATAGCCACCGGAAATTAATATTAAGATTTAAAGTACTGCTCTCTGATATCAGACTTCTATCAAAACTTCAAGACATCCGCTTGTATCAAAGCGCGGGCGCCGACTGGTTGTTCTAAATCGTAACGTTGCGATTACATTGTTCTAAATTGTAAACAATTTAGGAAGTAGAGCGATTGGGACCTCCAATTTGACTAAATCGAATCCTAACTGTTCTAACTACGATTACACCTTCCTATTTCCTAATTAGATTTCCTAAAAATTGTATAATGTAATAAGCGCTTATGGTAGAGTAGCTTGCTACTTTTAAGTATGTACTCTACTCCTAGGGATAAAAAGTGAAAAAATATGTCGATATTTCTAAAGAGTATAGATAAATATCTTGTTAAAATTATCGATAAATGGTTGTTTTGCGTGATGTAGAAGGATAAGAGCCAAAATTTTACTAACGGACGTTTTGACGACGAAAAAAAGAAATAACCAGCACATGAATGCTTTTGTTGCTTAATGAAAATAGACAAACTATTAAACTATAAAATAAATATGTCATTTTAAAATATATTGATATGAATTATGTACTCTAAAATAAATATTGAATATCGATATATAACGATTCAAAATATCGATCAATTTAATGAGAATATATTCAAAGCCTACTCGTCCGTAGGTCCGTCGTAATTATTAGTATGGAACGTAGACAGAGTTCTCTGTCTACGTTTAAATTTCAAATTAAACATGTTTAAACGTATTTGAAAATTGAGTTAGCTAAGCTGGTCACCTTTATTCTAAGTGTCTAATGCTAACGAGCGAGTAAGCTGGTCACCCAATTTGTTGCAATTTTTGGCACGTCACAGCCGCGTCATCATGTCTCCGTGTCTGCTTTTATCGCTGGGGAATTAATTTATTCTGCATTATCACACTTGACTGATATCATTTTATGTAAACTTTAATTTTATTTAAATAAATTTAGAGATGGAGTTGCTAAGCCAAGTGTCTAATGTGCAGTTTTTGTATCCAGCCGCAGCGGTTGCGGTAGTTTTAATATGTGCCGCGTTAGTATTTATTTTCGGGTTTCACTCCGCAGAACAGCCGCAATTCGATAAGTTGCCTCTTGTTTTGGATGATAGAAAATCTTCCAATAAGAAGAGGAAAATTAAAGAAAAGGTAGGAAATTATTCGACTGTATGCGCACAATTCCCAGCCATCAATGTGCGCTCATTTTATTTTTAACCTGTTAGCATAATAGTATAATTGATGGGGGCAATGGTTTTTAACATTTCACTGAATTTAATTTTCTGTCAATAATCTAATAAATGATCTGTCTTAATTTTTGGAAATCTTTACCTTCTGTCAATAATCTAATAAATGATCTGTCTTAATTTTAGAAATCTTCACCCAACCGCGCAGCTGATGATGTGAAGACAAAGACAGATACTTCTAAAAAATCTCCCGCAAAGGAGAAGAAAGAAGAAAAGCCGAAAGAACCTGAGAAACCAAAACCTAAAGAAAAAGTAACTGAACCTAAATCCCTTAAAAAGGAAGCTCTTGGTGAAGCAAAAAAAGGCAAAAAGAAACTTATTGTAGAAGTTGAAAAGCCAGCTGATTTTGATGAAGGTGTGTGGGAGGAAGTACCTAAAAAGAGTGACAAGAAAAAGGTGAAGAGTGATGAGAAAGATAAGAAGGATAGTCCATCTAAAAAAAATAAGAGGAAGACCAAGGATGCTGATATTGAAGCAGCTCGATCAGCTGAAGAAGTAGCTGAAGAACCAGTAAAAGTAACAATTTCTGTCGATAATCCTATTGATGAAGAAACAAATCGTGCTTTACAAGCGCAAGTAGAGGAGTTCCAACGAGTGCTTAAAGAGGTATACACTTTTTTAATAATCTTGTTAATGTTGTAAAATCACACATACTATGGCAAAAGCAATTTTATGTAACTCTTATATTAGTAAATCTTTTAAAATTTTATTTTTATTTTAGAAAGGCTCATTTTTAGAAAAGAGTATAGATTATTGTATCAAAGGTATCACTAGTATAATTGCTGAGCTATAGTTCTCAGCAAGATGTAATTTTTATAGCCCTTTAATAATAAAGAGGCAAAGGTTTTCCTAGATATACAAAACAAAAGTAATTAGGTTTAGGTAGTCACCCTAAATCTAATTCCTTTTCTTTATGTGGAAAACCTCACTGCTGCTATATTGTGGTTGTAGCATCAATGGATCCGTTCAACTGGGCTAGAACCTTACTCACAGAATACCAGCATAAAATAGGAGCTTGCAAAATAGTCATGAATCTGTCAGAAGTACTAATCCCATCAGAATCAAGTTGTGAACCAATTGAATTTTATTTGAACTCAAGATAAATTGGACTCCTGATACTGCCATAGTGTATAATTGAATGGTGGTTAACCCTTTACCTGTCCCATGAATCATATTATATGAACATTTAAATTGTTTAACTATTGTTTATTTTGCGGACATAAATGAAGTTTTTATATGTATATTATTATAACATCTTAACTGTAACAGGCTGAACGCCGTGAGCAAGCTGCTCTTGGTAGCACAGAAGAAGAAGAGACTGCTGAAGATGAGTTGACGGAGGTGAAGGATCTTAGGAGCATTAAGAAAAAGGAAAATAAGGAGAAACAAACAAAAAAGAAAGCAGCTGAGGTGAATTATCTTATTAAGATTTTTGTATAATTAATTAGTATGTATTTTTATTTATTACCTTTAAGCAACAGATTCGTTATTTGAAACCAAAGCCAAGCAGTTCATTAATTCGCGTTTGTGAACACAGCCTACTAAAATAACATGTCAATAACAAATATGTACTGTTATTTTGCTTAATGTGATAAATTTGTTATAACAATATTAATAAGAAGTACAAATTTATTGAAACTGATATGTTTATTGTGCTGAAATTACAGTAGTGCCAAATCAGTTTTAGTAATCATTATTGCAGCAACAGCAAATTGCTGCAAAAATAAGCATGTCTGCTGACTAAAACAAAGTGTTTATCTGTGGCACCTGCAGTTGTAGACTTTACTTTAGGTTGACCAACATTAAGTTTGTGGGTTTGAGGCCGTTGCTCTTGCTATATTGCCACCATTCTTGTCTTGGCTACTGCAACATTATTTCCCACTTTATTTAATTGTAATCTTCTTAAATTTTGTTGATGTTGATGTTTATCATGAGCCATGATAGCTCAGATGGTTAACGCTTGCTGTAAATATAACAGAATGCGAGTAGCTTGAGTTCAATCCCCGCCGGCACCAATGAAATTGTTAATTGCAATTTTAAGTGCTGATTTACCACGTGCTCGGCGGTGAAGGAAAACATCGCGAGGTAACCTGCATGTCTGAGGAATAAGAAAAAATATTTCGAAGACATGTGAAGTTCGCCAACACGCATTGGGGCAGCATGGCGGACTCTTCCTTGCCCTAAAAACCCTCTCAAAAATGAGGGGAGGCCTGTGCCCAGCAGTGGGACGTATATAGGCTGTAACTTTACCATGAGAGTATATAATAATATGTGTTATTTACATCTGCCAGGACATTTTGTCCTCAAATATATTATATAATTTTTTCTCTAATGTTGTTTAAAAACACATTTAAATGTAACTATGACATGTGCACTTTATATTATAAACTTGCATTACAGGCCAGGGCAGTATAGAGCTATTACCACTAGATAGAATTCCTAATATCATGTCTTAGCAGTACAAACACAAGCAGAAGGATGTGTCGAAATCAACAACTGGTTGGTGACTAGATAAATCTGCTTTAGAACTACTTGATAAACAGCCGACAAAATTTAGTTGTATAGTAAGACAAAGCAGGCTTACCTCATGCTAGATTTAACAAATATAATAATATGTTAAATATATCTATGGTTTGTAAAGTGCAACTCAAAGAAAAATTGGTAAAAATTTAATTCTATTCTTGTTTTTATGTAATTTATAAAAACAACTATAAATATAATGTCATGCAGCACTAGTTAACTGAAATCATATTTGTCAGGATCAGTTGGTACTAAATTTTACTATTTAGTTTTCGGATATTGATAGGGATTTAAGCCTAAAAGAGGTGTAGGATGGTGACATACAGAGGCAGTAAGCTTGTAGGCTCAAATTTTAATACACAAGATATATTGATTAGAAAATTATTCTTATATAAAAAATATATTTTCTTGCAAATAGAAGAAAATATTTTTAAAGTTGCAAGTAATTTTAGCTTTGAATTAGACCACACCATTGATTGGTTTATTAGACAAAATTTTTCTCTTCTCTTATTTTTAGTATCCCATTTCCCTAGAGCAAAGGCCCAGACTTTATTAAAGTAAAATTTTTATTCACTTTAGTTTAGCAATTTAATCATTTATCAGAATATTTTTCTTTACAGTCTGCTGTAACTAAGAGTGCTGCTAAAACTGATGAGAAGGATGCATCTGATTCCTCTGATAAACAGGACAATAATCAAAATGCACCTGTTTTTGATGAACTCGGGGGTAAGCAGTTAGGTTATTTAAATATAATTGTATTTAAAGATAATGGTAATTAACACTTATATAAAAAGTGTTATCAATGTCTTAATAAGGTCAGAGGATAAGGCAAGCCAAACATTTTTATGCCATGTGTGTGAACAGGTTAGAAAAATTGTATGGCTGGATGGCAACAATAAAATCATTATGACCGAATTGCTGGGGGACCTTAGCACTATGCTCAATGACCATAATAGTAATATGGACAAGATAAAGGCTTTGTGTGTCGTCCATGTCACAACTATGCCGGTAGTTGTTGAGAACACTATGCTTGAAGTTGTTGATGAATATGTTTACCTAAGACAATTTTTCAGACTTGGAAGTTCATCTTCGATCAAGAAGTCAATCGACGGATTCAACTCACCTGGGCAGTGGTTAGAATATTATGACACATTATTTTTTCATGTGATTCTCAAAACTTTAAAACAGTATTAACATATAGATCTAAAATGTGGTTCTTCACTGATGGCCATATGAGGAAGCTCAAGGTCGCTCGGGAAGCTATGGCTGGAGAGATTTATACTATGTTTCTCTGGGTGATAAAATTTGAAAAGAGAATATCTGCAGTAGAATCTGCACCGACATAGTCCAAAGGATTAAGGTGAAGTGGAAATGGTCTGCCCATATAACTTTAAGAATTGACAACTGATGAGGAAGAGAGGTTCTCGAGTAGTAGCCATGTTCCAGAAAGCGGTGTAGGGGGGCACCCCATTAGAATTAGATTGAATGAGAAGTGGGTAAAATATGCAGGAAATCGATAGATACAGGCGACTCAGGGCTGTGATTTGTGTCATTCCTTGGGGGAGGTAGATGTTCAGCAGTGAATTTGTGTAGAGCTGTAACGCTGATGAAGATAATGGTGATAATTTTTTATAATCCATCTATTGCAAGCCGAGTGTGAGCAAGATGGCAGATAACATTCTAAACTTTTTGCCTAGGTGCTTAAATACATGACCTTAGTTACAGATAGTATATGCAGTGCAATATACAAGTTGATAAGCAGGAATAATTTTTAATTTTTGAAGTCTTTATTTGGTTTTTAGTATACACACACACAATATAGACCAAAAGTGAGTGTTGTATGAATAATTGAATAATGTCATTTAAAAGGCAAGACAGCAATGTTAATAATTATTAAATGTTTACTATATGTATTATGGTTTATCCCCTTTTTTGCACACAATTTCTGCAAATGAAATATTATATGTAAATGAAATAGAATTGATTAAACATTGTATGTCCCAGGCATGCTTATTCCTTACCCTTTAAACTTAATATTTTTTAATATTTTCAGACACATGGAGAGATGCCAAGGTTACTAAGAAAAGCAAAAAGAAAGCTCGCAAAGACCAGTGAAGCGTGAGTTATGCAGATGGGATCTGGCTGGTCATTAGCCCAGTTGCTAGCTCAATGCCATTCACACCATAAATAAAACTATAACTTGCATATAATTAAAATTACTGTTGCATATTATTACACATGACATTTAAAATAATCATCTGCTATTTATTTATTCTTCTTAGTTGACATTTAAAAATATATAAACAAATACTTTGTAGTTTTATATGGTGTGAAATCATTAAATATTAAGTTTAAAACATAATATTAATTACTGTTTTCACACATTCAGTAAATTTACGTCCATGTTTTAGTTGCATATTTTATGTTATGACTTGTTTTTCGTTAGAATTTAATATTGTTTTTCATTTTTTAAATAAAGCATAATATAATTTGTTTTAAGTCACTTAAGAGTCATTACATTCTAATTTGTATGAAGGAACCTCGGAATCTGCAATATCTTTTGGTGTTATATTCAGCCATGTGTTTTGTAATTGGCTATTAGGTACATTTTTGATTTCAGAGGTCGTATTCAGTTATATAAAGTAGTAGGTATGTACATATATCTTTAATGAAATTTTCCATATTGACATTCAAGAACTTCTGGTGCTTGTAGAAGTAAGAGATATTTCCTTTCATTCCAGTTTTACTTATATGTTCATATGTGTAACTTATTCTTTTACAAACACATTATACATACATATATATATATATATATATATATATATATATATATATCTCTTTAGTATTAGATATGATATATATCCTTTTGAAAAATGTTTATTACTCACATATGTATTGAGACCAAATTTATACAATGGTAAATAATTTTTTTATTATTATGTAGAAAAAGTTATCCTATCTTAAAAATTTGTTGTCATTATTATAAGTTATAACACAATAGGTTCCGTCCGGACAATTATTGTTGACTTTCACACTCACATTTGTTCTGGTTCTGGTGTGATGTATACTTATATGATCTAATTAATTATCGGAGCTGATGGATGAAACATCGATTTTTTATTGCAGATTCCTATTTTATATATTAATGTTTAAGAAACAAAGTTCTATTTTGAAAATATAATAAAACGAAATATTATTTTCGAAAATTTAATGACTCCGTAAATGTAATTTATTATTGTAATTATTAATAGGATAGGATTGAGAGCATCAATAACTTTGAACTTGTCAAGGTGGACGAGGTATAAAATATAGGTAGGTATAGGTTTATAATACTACGAATTTCTAAACTTTAGTTATTTGTAAATTATTGGGGGTTATCGGCTGTGCAATAAATCTAATTCGGGACTGCTAGTTGTCTAACGCATCTACGGATCAGTCATGGGAAAACTATACTTTTTGTGCATGTCATAGTCATTACCTTTTTGAAAGTAGATCTTTAACCCATATTTTTATGAGTTTTCAATTAAATGTTCACAAATAGGGTTGTACTTTTGTGATGTTTGTGTTGTAGGAAAGATAGGAGCGCTTTAAAATGAATGTCCATTGCATTAGTAGTTCATACCTAAGTGTTTAAAAATTATCCCAGGCAACTCCATTAAATACCCTGAATTCTTGTACATTCTTTTGATAGATCTCCTTTAGGGAAGTATGTTTGAAAGACCTATAAATATTTCTACTAGCCCTTTTCTTTGATGTTTGTTACTTAAATCAAGGTAGTACTTAGGGTCTGAGAAAAGTAATTTAGATAATGGAAACACTTAAATTCATATATACATAATAAGTACATACATTAGATGTAAAATGAAAATATTTTTGGTTTAAGGTCATACATTGTAGCATGGGTATGATGAGTGCAATAAATACAAGGCACAAGTGAGATTTAGATGGGCCGTAGTGTTTAAACGGTTGTTCATGTGAATGTTATTGGTTCATATAACTCTGGAATGTAATGAATGTGTAATATATTTTTTTAAAATCAGTAAAGAGTGATATTGATTATGTTCTTATTGTTTCACTCCAGCCCCCTGGCCGTTCACATGTAGAATAAGCTGCTTCCAGTCCATACCACAGTTTTAGACATGTGTCAATCATTCAGTGCTCGTGACCGAATCATTCTAGTACATTTCGTCACACGTGCCGGTATATTCAGTTCAATCATTCAAAATGATAATTTTAGGCTCCACAGTACCCTACACTAAAAAATTAAGACCATTCGGGATTCGGTCGGTATTTGACTCATTTATAATTCGCACAAATGACGAGTTATCAAGGTTCCTTCAATTGTTTAGTGATTCAAACAACAATTAAAAACAGATGAATGAACCATCAATACATTTAAGTATACCAGCTCAAACGAACGAATCGTTCATGATTGACACTGTCTACACAGTTTAGAGGCTTAGACCTCACAGTTGTGAAACGTCTTTGATGACAGGCGACACCGCCGCCCGCGTAGGTATTTACGCGGCCAGCGTGTATGCTAGAGATTGTCATAAAAATGAAAATAAAATTATTAAATGTACATACTTATAACTTACATTCGTTGAACGAGATCATTTTTATTACTACAAGAAAAAACACATTTACAATAAGGGTTATGGAGCGATTACGCCGCTAAGCTGTTTCAGAGGGTGTTCGCGGATTTCACGTCTTTGATCGAGGTTTATCGAGATGTTTATTTCCCGCCCAGCATGTAGTAAATCAGCACTTTAAATTGCAATGGGGCGGTTTTCCATTCATAACGCCGGCGCGGGTAATGCAAAAGTCCGGCTGCCGGGGATGCAAAATGTATAAAAATACCGGCGCCGGCGCAAGCACGGCGATGATTCCCATCGGTGCCGGGACTACAAGCTTCCCGCTCGTTGCCGGTAAAAATGCATGTGTATTATGTACGCTCTGACAGCGCGCGACATGTTATACTCCCGTTCCCTCGGGACCTTAATGGCGGGAAAATTTGTAAGTTAAAATTTTTTTGCTATATTGCAAATTTTGCTATATTTTCACTGTGAGACAATATTTATGGATAAAACTTACAGGAATTCTTGTTGAATGTATAAACTATCGAATAAAATTATTTTTGGTTGCTAGAAATTGTAATAAAATACATAAATTACCCTGTATAGCATAGTAGTAGTATATACTTCAATTTTAGTGACAAAATTACAACTAATTTGAATTCTACACTTTTGTTTTTGGAGAAATTTATATGAAAATGTTTGGAAATACGTATATTTTTATGTTTTATGTGTTTCTATTCGTTACTCATACCAAAATATTAAAATATTAAAAAATAAAAAAAAAATAATAATATTTTATCTGTATGACATTTCGAACAATATTTCAAAAATAGTTTTGTGTGAATTTGAAATAAATACAACGTCAAGTTATTTGAAATATGTAAGAAAACTATTTTTACTTACATTTTACACTAAAAATAAATGAGAATTTGAAAAATAACACATTTATGACCCAACCGCCAAAATGGGCCTTCCGGATTTTGAAGTACTTTTGGCAACTTACTTTTCACTTTTTATACCACAAATTATATATCTACGTGTTTACTATATTACAAGGAATATAAAAAAGTATAATACGTTCGTTTTTAGTCCAGACACAAATATAAAATTCTATAAAAAAGACGGAGCACCTTCATCAAAGCGACACGTGGAACGCCGAAAGTTCAGAGTGATTTTTTCTTCTAAGCATGCCAGGTTATGGTTTAAAATAAAAGAGCATATCTTTGTCTTTGATACTATTATCTATTGCATAGTGTCTTTGGTTTTGTTTAAAACGAAAAAATAGTTTAAAAAAAAGTTTTCATAGGGCAGTAATTCTGATCTAACTAGTGCTCTTTTGGAGCGGACGTAGGTAGGTATTGTACGATCTAAAGTGCGCATCTCTTGAAGCAACAGGGTATTGAACAATATGAGTGTTTGCGTGTTAGCCGAGGTAAAAGGGGCGTGTGAGGTTGAGCCTCAAAATCTAGTTGTGAAATGATGAAATGTCTCCTCGTTCATGCGAAATTAGTTGAAATATTTTAGGAGTTTATTTACAATTTCTAAAATACGGTATAATATGTTCTCTCTAAGTATCTTATTTTTAAGATTGGATGAATTCAAAATTTTACTTCTCTGCGTTGATCAAATTTTATCTTTGGCGTAAGAGATGTAATAAACAAATACGACGGCTTGACGAGACCACTTTTACGTGTTGTAGAACTGAAGTCTGTCTTAGTAGCTTAGTACTGGCCAAAAAACAAGCGTAGACCAGCACCGGCCCGGCGCAGTGGAAAAACGAAGCCCCGGCGACGCGAACGAGGCACCGACGCGACGCCCCGCCGCCGTTCGGTACCGCGCCGGTAAATGAAAAACCGCCCATTAAGGGGAAATATAATCTCAAATGGCTTAGCAAGATCCTTCGTTATGCCGAAAATATTGCAGCATTAATTTTGAAATAAATATATGGTAAAGTTGAGGATTACTGTTAAGGATTGTTAGACGAAAACACGATTTCGTATTTTCTCGATAGAAAAAAATCCAAAGTTACCTCCAAAATAAACAATAAACCGCTGTTATTCATAAAATACTTTAAATAAGATCATGAAACTTTGCATACTAACTGAACTAACTATAAAGCAGTGCTTATGTTATTTACTTTTTTTAAATACCATTATTTTCACTGTAAAAAGAAATTACCTAAACTATCGGCCTTTTGAAGCGTGATTCCTGCCGCACGGTCACTTCCAGGCCCGGTCAACTCTGTATGGACAGAATGAAATACCTACGGGGGCTGAATTTTATTATTGCCATTTGTCAGATAAATGTCTTGTTTCATAATTAGTAAGATTTTGCTAAAGATAAATTACACCCAAAAATTTTGAATACAGAAATAATAATCAATAGGAAGATAACTATGCCTGTCGTATTTTTCTACATTATTATATTAGCATATCCTTGACAGTAAAAGAAAAATAAATGTTTTCTTTTTGTTTTGATTTTCAATGAGTAGAAAATTATATTTTTTACTGGTAACACCAAATACCTAAATGAGTATATATTTCTCTTTTCTCATAATATGGCGTCGCCGTATAAATTATTGTTGTTCATGATTGGTTGTTATGTTTGTTTTGCTTGTGTCTTTTACTAAGATTTTGCAAGTTTACGATGTTGAGTTGAGATTAATGTCCTTCATTTATATAATGTGCAATGTGTTAGTCAATGAATCGTTGTGAAATACGAAATAGTGACTCTTAAAAACTACGCTGCAATGGCGGATAAAGAAAATAGAAAAAGTGTTCTAAGTGCAACAGCATACCAACCATTGACAACGTTAAATTATTTAGGTTTCCGAAATTCGCAGTAAAGTATATTTTGCGGTACGTATACGATATACATATACACTATTTAATAAGTTCTAACCTTAAAGTAAATCTCTTGTCCAACTTATTGTTTCTCTTTTACCATTTAAAAACAAATTATTGGTTTGTAAACCATTAATTTGTTTTTAACCTACTTTGATAATATTTGTATTTAATAATTATATCTTTTGTTTTCAGTTGTAAATTATGGGCGAAATATTATATTCCTTCCCAAGAGCAGTATACTACTTTAGCTTTCCAAAGCTACATAATAAGCGCAGAATGGTGTGTGAAAAACATTTTCATGATGGTTAATTTAATGATGCAACCAAGAAAAAGCTCTTAAGCACTGCAGTCCCATGTGATGTAAGTAAAGTGTATAATGTATATGGTAATATGGTATGTATATAGTTTTCTTTAAGGATTACTCAGATATTTTATATGGGGATTACTATATTCAGGAGTGGACTTTGATAGACTGTAAAGAAGATGATGATTATTCATATGACCATCATCTGGATCTAACATAGATGGACAGACCACATACAGTAGTTTGAATCCTGTTAATTCTTTCAACTAATTTATAATAATTGGATCGGACAAAGCATCCAAAGGATTGAAGTCTATAAAGTTAGCACAAGCCTTTCCTTACATTATTAAAAGTGCAACACACTGCATATTATTTTTAACAATCAAATTTTATTTTAAATCAACAACAAACCTTAAGAAAGTTCCGGCATCACAATATATGAATAATTACATTTCGTCCTAAACCTATCAAATTTAAAGGCACAACTTGTACAACACAGTAGAAATACATGCATCAAATGGTTCTCAAACATTAGATAAACACAAGATTTCTTTTCACATAGTTATTGTATTTACTATCTTATTTTGTTATATTAATTGTAATAGTGGGCGTATTATAGAGCAAGTTGGATGAACAAGATCCATTCATTTATTTTGTATTGGTAGAAGGGTAATGTAGTGCCATGAGTAGGGACTGATTTACTATGAAAGTAATGTCAATGAATATAATGTTAATTTTATTTTATATAATAATTTTATGATACTATAATTTATGATTAAAACTAGTTTTACGGATTTTATCGCGTTTATTTTTACTTTTTATTTACTTTTATTTTTAATAATATTAAAAATAAAAGTTAAAAAAAAAGTAAGTCGATAAAATCCGTAAAAGTAGTTTTAATCATGTATAGTGTTCACGTAAATATAAAAAATCATTACTATAATTTATTTCAGTTTTTATTTATTTCCAGACTAACAAAGTGTATTCCCATTTTATTTTGTGGAATCACAAGCTGGTCCCTCGCAAATTATTGCTGCAAAACCACAAGCAGGATCTTCAAAAAGGACAACATTATATCCACTGAAGAACAAACATCAAAGCATAACACATAATGTTGAACCTGAAAAAGAAAGTATGTATATCTATATGAAATTTTTTAAAATGAAATAAGGAATATTTTTGTAATCTAATATTTAATATATTTTATAATTTTGAATTAAAATTATTCTATTTATAAGCTGCATTCAATACTTAATATATTGCATATAATATAGAGACAAAATTTTTAGTGTCAATTCAGGGAAATAGACAACCAAATATTATCAAAACACAATTATTATTTGTGAATGTTGCACTTTGCACTTGTGTGTAGGAGCTTATTTATTAATTAACTTGTTTTAGATTAAAATATTGATATTTTGGTTATTGTAGACAATCATTGTGCATATTATCAATTCATCCATGATTGTAAATCTTATTTCCATTCTTTATCATTGTTTACTTAAGTAATTGAAATGTTGTAATCATTATTGATTTTCTTTTCATGTTTAAACCCATCAAATGTCTTTATAGAAAGAACTAAGCTGCTGGAGAAATTGTTTCTTAAGTTATGCATGTTTTTTATTTCAATTTGTATTTTTATTTTGAATAAATAAATAGAAATTTTGTAATTTTTGTTCTTTTATTTAGCGCTGGGATAGGGAAACCCAAAAATACCTCAAATAAAAAAAACAAAAAAGACCACATTCAAATTTTCCCGCCACACGAGAAGTGCAGGAGGCTGACGATAGATGGCGCTAGTGGTTATATATCTCATTTCTTAAATTTTGTATGAAGTTGTCGTTCTTCTCCGATAGGAGTAATAGTGTTCTGTGGTCACTTCGCTTCGGCCTTTGAACGGGGAGGTTGTGTCGCTTACGATCAGTAATAAAAATAAGAAGCGACTGGTTTGGCGTTAAGAAACAGGCATAAATATGATAAACCTAATGAAATAAGTGTCTAACGACCTTTCTACTTAGAGTATTAGTGATTACAAACATGTCGGTACATAGCATACGACGCGCGGGCAAGTGGGGATTAAATTAGAATTTGAGCTGACTTACTATATCCCCTTAAGAGGATACCTTGAAAATGAATCGAAGTTTTGGGGGCGTGGCTTATTCCTTTGTCGGTGAAGCTAACGGACGACTGGGGGAGTGTCAAAATGAAAGTGATGCAATGACTTCATAGCACGCAAATTATGTGATAGCCATACCGTGCAAGCGCTCGGAAAAACTAAGTAAGCGCCAAACATTTTTATTTATTTTAACAAAACTTCGTTATGGGTTAAAAAACTGGTTTATGCGAACTTAGATATGATTATTTACTATGTATTAAAAATTATTTCATGAATTTATTCGTAAGAATATTGTGGTGTCATCGAGAAATGTAAATAATTACTTAGAGCCAATTTTGCATTTTCTTTCTATCGAGAAAATTACATGATATCGTGTTTTCCTTTTATTCAATCCAAGATCATATAGTCTAAAATCGTATACCAAAATTTTGGTTTGTAATCTATAAAATTAAAAAAAATATGTTAATTAGAAAAACCACTAAATTTTCGAGGTATCACCTTAATAATTGGTGCCGGCGGCGGAGATCGAACCCATTCGTGCACTCGCGTACCTACTGCGCACGTACTGGGTAATCTACGGAGAGCTGTGTGCAGAGCTGACAGGTATTGAACGGTATAGGTACACGCCATACAGTGGATGCTGCAAACTATGTAAAATAAATGAATAATATGAACTTGAGCACGAGCGATGTCGTGGGTATTAGGAGGTAATGATAAAATAAAAAGGCGACAATTAAAACGAATTTTAATTTTTATAAATTTAATAATAAAATTATAAATACGTACAAACTATGAAAGAATTAGTATTGGTAAAAAAGTTTATGTACAAATGAGTTAATAAATTTATTTTTAATCCCCCATTAAAATGTGCTATTATTTTTGTGGTATATTAGTTTTAATATTAGATTATAAATCTGTGGTTTAAAACTTATATCATAATTTATTATTTTATTAAGCGATGAATAAAAACGATTTTCTATAGTACATACATTTCTTCATTAAAGTATTGATGTCGCAGCCAATTAGCTTAATTAGCCTTTCAGTTAAAAGCCTTTTTTAATTTTAGAATTTTTTAAGCTATACTTTATACATGGCATGGTCACCCTATTAATTTCATTCAACGAGACGGTCGCTGGTCTGTGCATAATTAGCGCTATGTGCTATATAATATTAATATAAGCGACTTTAAGGTGGCCCAACCGCGACCTAGCTGATATTAGAAGACATGTACAATGTTATATGAGACGCATCGGCTGAATATTGAACGGCGGCGTTTAGCAAAAAGGCTAGACTTTTAACTGAAAGGCTGATTGAGCTAATTAGCTGCGTCATTGACACTTGTTCCCGTCTGTAAATTTTGATTTGTGTAATCATTAATATACCCTGGATACCCTGCTGCCAAGTAACAACAGTCGCATTACCTACTTACATCCAAATTACATAAAATTATTTTTACACCGATATACGACAATGTAAAGCGACAGTATAGTTACATAAATTATTAGGCTTTAATTTAGGTAATAATAGTGAGTGATTTTAGTTAGTCATTGTGAAAATGAGAATATGTAGATACATATTATATTCGTATTTTTAATTTAATTCTAAGAGTATTAATGAATAAAGATTGTCAATATCAATTGGAAAATTACAATTCTTTGTACTTATAAGTCATCATTAATCATTATCATTACAGTCCTTCACAAGTTGACCGCTGAACATAGGCCTCTGCCAAGAAATGTAAAGTACAGAGCGGCCTCCCTTTAGATGGAGTGACGGATGACCTGGTGGTAGTCTATGGATGTAGGAGGCTCAGGACAGTGCTTTGTTTTGCTGAGATAAGTACTTAGATTTAAATTGGGACTAACAAAATGAAATCACGTTATTTATCTCGAGCATTTTTTTAGTATAAATAACATTGAAAGTATGAATTTAACAAGGATGCTTTTATTTTGCTATTAGCAAAAGAATGCCAAATTTGTCATTAAAGTAGTAGCATATTATACAGGGTTATTTTTCAAAGAGTATCTACCTAGCCAAATTTTAAACTTAAGTCGCAGAATAAATTATAGTTAACTTAAGTTAAAATATATAAATAATGATATACCGTTATTTCTGTTTTGAAAGTACGAGTAGTTAAGGCTTATAGTTTTATATGAAATTATCCCAAATTGAATGTGATCAATGGGTAACAACATTTTTGTCTACCAATTGACCCTTACGAATGTGTACGTGCGCAATAAAATCAGTTAAAATAATACATTACTACGCATTTTGAATTTAAAACATAAAAAAGGCAGAATTTTTAACATTTTTATTAAATAAATTTTTCACTATTTGCCAATATTACTTATTCTGAACCTTCTCTGCAATTTTAGTTTGCTATTGCAAAATAATCCTGTATAGCAAAACATACAAAGAGGAGGTGACGACATTTTTTATTGAAAAGTGTATATTGCCCTTGATACAAAGTACAAACCATAGAAAGCTATAGAGCGCCTAGGAAAGAAGGTACTTTTTAAATTATGATACATTTTAAGTTATTTAGGTCACAAATAATTTCGGTGATAACCTCACTTACGACGGCAATCATGTATAACACATGGTTTAGTTATTCGATTTTTCAGAGGTTTAAGTGGAAAAATAAATACATTATACAGTTATACTTCACAGCGGTCTCATATGATTTTCAACGATATGATATAAATATCAGTAGGCATTTAAGTAATTCGACAGTTTCGTAGTACAACGGCTAAGCGTTTGGTTAGGACTTTCAGGTAT